TCGGGTCGGACCGATGGGCCATGCCCGGGGTGGATTGTGTCCGGTATACGATGGGTAGGATGAGGCGTGCGTGTGGTCGGCCGCCTGTCCGTCTGTCAGCCCTGTGCTGTGCTGTTGAACATGAGCCTTAAACAGCAGCTTCTCAGACTTAGACACACTCCATATACTGCGTGCCTGTGTCCAATTCACCGGGCAGTGCACGGGAGACGACGTTTTCTCCGACTGATCAGTGTTATCATCTCTGGCTAGTCGGTCACCTGTGAGTCTGTATGAGGGCACCGAACAAAACAAACGATGGCCAAGTCTGGCCGCTTGTGGATGTAGAGTTGAGCGTTGGCTTCTGCGTTGATGTTAGTGTCTGTTGCCATTGGGCGCCCGTTGACGTGTTGTGTCCCGGTTGCCGTCGTGTCATCCGTCTCTGTAGAGTCATGATCCTCAGTGCCGGGTTAGATAACTGAGCGAACGTGTGATGCTATATAGCCAGAAGTCCATCCGCTGATGCCCGGAGGTCTTCATCGGGACTGAATCACAACAGTAGAGGGTGTATATCTCATCTCCGCAATCCTCTCAAGCCAGGCAAGGCACCTCTGCGAAAGCTGAACGAAGTATTCAGTCTCACTCATATACTCCGAAAGATAGTGAGGCTAATAACCCTGGCTTCCACATACCGTCCGTCGCGATACCCAGGATCCTACAGCCGAGCGACGATGGATGATGAGCTGGAGCGGACGAGGAACGCCCTACTGAGTTACCTTGAGGAGATAAGGGCACGGAGAGCCCTTGAGGACCTTGCGCTCATCATCTCCAACCGGGCACCCTCGTCCCGTCAAGCAGTCCAAACAACTCCTCCTCCGCTGAGCAATGAACACCGCTCAGCCCCAACAGCTGCCACCATTAGAAACACCAGCGGAAACGACAGCAACGACGGTAGGGAGATGAACCATGGTCCTGCTCCCAGCCGAAGTTTCGATTTGGATCCTAGACTCGGACCATACTTCGATCCCGCATCTGGACGATGGCGATCAGACGAGGAAGATGACTGGGAGGACGAAGACGACGAGCATGATGACCGGGACCGGGATGGTGAGGACGAGGAGGGTGAAGGAAAGGAACAAGAAGAAGTAGAAGATGGGGATTGGGACGATGAGGACGATGAGGACAATAAGGACGACGGGGACGACGGGGACGATGCGGACGATGAGGACGATGAGGGCGATGAGGACGATGAGGACGAAGAAGACCAAGAAACAGAAGATACGGGAATGGACCGAGACAGTCCCCCAGACGCAGTCCTTCACAGAGCCCTGAGAAATGAAGAATGGCGTGCGAGGATGGTCGCGACGCTCGGCTACTGTCCCGGTTGTCCGCATTGTGCTGATTGGGCGAGTTGGCCCTTTGGATGGGTAAGACACAATCTTGGGGGTCGGGGTCGAAGTCCTGGTGGATGATGAGGCTAACCGACCATTTAGTGGTGGCCCGGGTGGCGCGTATGGCGTTGAAGTGCTCATTCAGGATGCTGCAGGTTATCATTGTATGGGTGTTCAGAAAGAGGGAGTGACCATGTGTTGTCGATCCGCATGAAATGTGAGGCGAGATAGGATACATTGTGTTGAGCGTAATTCGGTGTGAGTCCCATCTTATATGGATACTCTTGACTGAGCCAGATTTTGTCTCTCCATAGCAATAGCGTTGACCCTTAGCTTGTCTCACGTTGTTACAAGTAACCCAGCTCATCCATCATCATACAAAGCAACGGACACTCGTGCCCTACACGGCTTCTCCGGCCGACTTGTAGGCACTCACAGCAAACAAAGCAAACAAATGGTACCGTAGCCACACGGGGCAAAAGCTTCCACCTTCCACAGCTATTAGCTCGCCTGGACAAGCGACTCGAGATCGATCAGTCTCCGCATCTCGGCCCACTCCGTATCGAAGGCCGGCTCGTCTCTCGCAGGCAAGGCCGACTCGATCCCGAACGGTTCTTCCGTCGCGCCGGCCCCCTGCAGCCGTGGGTCGATGACATCCTCTTCCTGCTGCGGATCGCGGTCTTCCTGCTGCGGCTCACGGTCTTCCTGCTGCGGCTCGCGGTGATCCCTCCGCAGGTGCTTGTCCAGGTCTGCATGTCGAACAAATCTGGCTGAACAGCCCTCAACCGAGCAGGGGATTGTCCTAGTGGGCACCGCAGCTGACATTTCATCTGCTTCACCCGGCAGAGCGGATTTGGGCGTGTACAGATTCGGCGGCCGCTTCCTTCCAAGGTGCACATACCGCACATGCTCTTCCAGCTTCAGCTTGCTGACGAAAGTCTGGCCGCACCCCTCCTCCTTCCAGTTCCAGTCCGCAATATCCTCCGTCCCAAAAGTGTCCACCTGCCCACAGACAAAGCGCAGCCCCTCGTGTGCCGTCCGGATATGCGTATTGAGATTCGACACCCTCGTGAACTTCTTGTCGCACCCCTCCCACGTGCACTCGACGGTCTTGCGATCCTCGACCGTCGTCCCGGAGTGATACATATCCACATGCCTCTCCAGGTCGGCCTGGCTCCCACACCTGACCTCGCAAAACATACAATTGACATGTTCCTTCCGCATGTGCGCCTGCAGCAGCAACAGCGTCCGAAACCCGACCTTGCGCCCATCCCCTTCCTCTGCGCCACACTCCTCGCACCAGAACCGTATCTCCCCGTGCTCCCGCGCCACGTGCCGTCTCAGCGCCCCCGCCGAGTCGAACCCGGCCTCGCAGTCCTCCGCGCCGCACACAAACGCCGCCAGCCCCAGATGCGCGGTCCGCACGTGCCGCTGCAGGGTCTGGTGTTTGCGGAAACTGAGACTACACCCTTCGTAGCCGCGGCAGCGGAACCGCTCCGCGCCCTCGTGCACCGCTGCGTGCCGCCTCAGCCGCGTGGCGGTCACGAAGGCCTTGCCGCACCCTTCCTCCGGGCAGACATACTTCTTTTCGTGCGTGTGCGAGCCCTTAATGTGCTGCGTTAGGTGTTTCTCTTCCAGGTAGGTCTTGTCACAGTCGTCGTAGGGGCATTTGTACTGGCGGTCGTTGGTGTGCGAGCGCAGGTGGGCGGCCAGGCGTGCAGGGCGGTTGAAGGTCTTGGGACAGCCTGGGTAGGTGCATTTGATTGTCTTGAGGTCCGAGGGGAATTTGCGGCCCCGGCGGGATGAAGGACAGGCGGAGACGGAGGTTGCTGTGGAGGTGAGGGTTTCTCCGGCTTCACCTGTGGGTAGCATGGGGGTTGCGGTCGGTGACGACGTGCTGGTGTTGTCATCTGCTATCGAGGTGATCGAGTCGGTCGAGGGCTCCATTGGAGCTAGAGCTGATTCTGGATACTCGGGGTCGGTTGTCTGGGGAACCTCAATTTGTTGCCGTTTGGATGGCCCGGCCAGGCCGTCCTCCTCGTCTGTAGCTTTCCGTTTCATGGCACTGGCGGGAGGGGAAGGTAATCGGACAGAGCTGGGTGGGTGACGAGGTCGTGTAAGCTGCAATTGAGTTGCAGAAGTTGGGTGTGAGCTTGATAATTCCCCAACTTTTTTGTGGTGCGCTATGTTCCCGGCAGGCAAAGGTCTTGGCACTGTTCAATGGCCTCCACCCGACCCGCACTGCAAGGCTGATGCCCAAAGCTTTGGTCGCAGGGGATTGGCCCCACTCAAATTTTTTGCGGTCCTTCCATCAGCCTCCCCTCCATTCGCAGCCGTCTTCATCAACAGCCCGACCTTGGATCTCGGCTTTGTCATTGCCGCACCCCGAGCCCCTTACTGTCGCCAGTTGATACCACTGCTTATTTGAGCTGCAAATAACGTAAAGATGTCTGACTACGGTGGCGACGACGACCGCGAGCCTCTGTAAGCTCCCATTGTCCCAATCGCCCGCTCAACCCCCCCGGCTAACCTCTAGCAGCAACGACGAGCCCGCCTTCGACGAAGATCCCGATGAGTACTACGAGCCGGAGCCGGAGCCAGCCGATGAAGACGAAGCGGCACGCGCGCCCGAGCATGAGGGCGAGCAACAGGATGCCGACCACGTCGTTGTGTCGGGCGACCCTAATGCGGCCGCCAACCACGGCAAGGGTAACGAGAAGTCCCACAAGGACAAGAAGATCCCCAACGACCAGCGCACCACCACGCCCTTCATGACAAAGTACGAGAGGGCGCGCATCCTGGGCACTAGGGCGCTGCAGATCAGGTGTGTTAGACCCTGGGAAATCGGCGAGGACGCCGACTGATGGAGAATCACAGCATGAACGCGCCGGTGCTGGTTGACCTTGAAGGCGAGACGGATCCGCTACAGATCGCTATCAAGGAGTTGAAGGAGAAGAAGATTCCTTTGATTGTGCGCCGGTATCTGCCAGATGGATAGTAAGTTTCTGTTCTTGCCTGGTTGTCGGTCAACCCCGTCTAACGTCGTATTGTAGCTACGAGGACTGGACCTGCGAGGAGCTTCTTCAATGAGTCCGTTATGTTTGTGAGAAAATGAGGAAAACCAAGACTGCATTAGCGAGGGCGTTGGGGTATTGCTTTATTGCTGTTTTGAGATAAGGGTTATTCGCTTGGAGAGAAGTCTGAGGCCAAATGTTAGGTCTTGGCATGGTACTCGATTCGTCGGCCGTGTTCGCTCGTAGTGGTGGTGATGCTTTCGGCTTCAATGGAGGAGTCATCTTCATATCATGACCTGGCTCCTCGGTTTAGTCAAGGTTTTCGGAGACTTCGACAAGCCAAAGGTGGCTGTTGCAGATTTGCACGAGGGTAAGACACCTCACAGGCTAGTAAATACTCTCGTGATGTAATCCGGTCTAGACAAACTCACTGCTAGCCTATGAGTTGTGTGAATTGGCCGGTGTCGTAGAAGATGCAAGATCCCCGCTGGCCGATGCAGCTCAACCGCAACCCACCTGCAAGAGGACGTCAGCCGCACCAAAACCCGGTCGCATAATCCACCGCAACGCACAAAAGCTGCTCCTCAAAAAGCCAAGCATCGGCTGCGACAACAGCGAAGGGCGACTAGTCTAGTGGTCAGGACGCTTCGTTGTGGTCCGATGGAGTCTGCAACATCCGAAGAAACCCAGGTTCGATTCCTGGGTCGCCCAGTGCTTTTGCGTTATCTCGGTTTCAGCTTACTTACAACTCATGACTTTTTGAGCTGAGTTGGACTCGACTGGGTTTGATACCAAGTTCTTTGCTCTGTTTGTTCTCTCGATACCATGGATCATTACTGCCAGGCATTAATTATTTAACAAAAATTGACCTCTCATCGAACTTAATCCGGAACAGAGCCCATTCCCAAGTAGCGCTCCCAACAAGGCAATTCTATCAAGTTCAAGGCAATCCGAGGCCCGGCCAGTCAATCCAATCTGGCCACCCGGACTGGCAAGCCAGATGTGCCCAGGAATTGCCTAAATTGGTGGGATTGCCAAGAGGTCCGGTACGTACCATGCCCCTCACCATGGGGAGGCTTCCGGCCCAGGTGCCAGTCACGTGGCAGTCTTCGTCCATTTTTGGCTAGGTCAGTGTACAAGGGTTAGGGGTATGTATGTGGCCGGCACGGAATAACCGCTTCCGGCAATTCAGCCAATTTAGGCAATCTCGAACCCCCACAACGCAACCCAGTTCTGTGGCAGGCAAGGCAAGACAAGCCGGTGGCCGAGATTGGATTGATTGCCTTATTGGGAGCGCTGTTCCCAAGCGTCTTCATCCCGCTCACGGATTGGAGTATCATCAGCTAACCAGTTATCCTTGGAACACGTCGAACACGTTGGGGTGCAATAGAGAGCCTTGAAACACATGCCCGTAAAAAGTGCACTCTCTGCCTTTGGTCTTCTTTTACAAATTCTCATTTATGTGCGGAATTATCTTGCTGTCTTTCGCCTTTTCCTTCAGTTGCATAAATTCTCGAGTTTAAATTGACTGCTAGAGGGGCAAGGGAGTGGGCCTCATGCACGGACCATGTAGGTCCATAGGTACGTACCGGACATTTGCGCTGCATCCATTCTTCACCTGGTCGCGACAACAACCCGGAGGGTTCATGTTAGCTGTATAAAAGCTGTGGTTGACAAGTCGTGGCAAAGAAACAATAGCAGTACCTATGCACAAACTCGTGCAATCGGCTTCATATCACCGCATATGAGCGTTGAAATACCCCTTTCATCACGCATGACAAAGAGCATCATTAAGCTCGGTCTACGTTGCTTGCGACTGCAACAGAGGTGACAGCGCGAATCTGGAATCGCGGATTATCAACTGAAAATCGCTTCTTTCCCATCACACCCGTCATGGCGTACGACGGGAGGGATCATGCCGACAAGGGCTTCGGATCTGGCGGTGGAGGATATGATGGGCCTCCGCCGCCGAGAGCTAGAGGGAGACGTAAGTGCAAGCATCTCCTTTAACTGCGAATGATATCGCCGACCCGCCTCAAGGTGGCTCTATTATAAGTGCTGCCCTTCGCTCTGTGGTCATGGCGACGCGCACATCTATTTTCGAGGTTTACCACTTACCACCACATCATCATGCCATGCCTTCACTCCCGAGCTTGTACTGTTTGGTTTCGAATTATCATGCCTTCTCAACCCATCCTCCAATTCCGGGCCCGTCGCACCCTGCAGCAGCGCCGAGATACACTCAGTCATGGATCCATTGCGCGGTTCGCCGATCCAACTGGGGACACTGAGAGAGGACAAGACTGACCGTGCCGTGAACAGGTCCTGTCACCGACTATGGTGCAACTATCGTCCACTGGATGCGCCATCGTCAACCACGCTACAAGGGCTCGTTCGTCGGCGAGACTGAGAGACCCAGTAATAGCTACATCGTCGATGTAAGTGGCCCCGATTTGGCCCTTGAATAGCACTAACTCCCATGCCCAGATGCTGCCTCCTCACGCCAGGGTAACAAGCCCAGCAGATTCAGTGCCTTCTCGCCACCTACACTCATCTCTCAACAAGATCAAGCACCCGATCAATGTTGTGCGGTGGACACCCGAAGGCAGGAGATTGCTTACGGCCTCCAGCAGCGGAGAGTTCACACTCTGGAATGGCACGGGTTTCAACTTCGAGACCATTATGCAGGCACACGACTCGGCCATCCGTGCCCTGGCATACTCGCACAGCGACGACTGGCTGGTATCGGCCGACCACGACGGCATCATCAAATACTGGCAGCCTAACTTTAACAACGTGGAAAGCATCCGTGGCCACACAGACCCGGTCAGAGATCTCGCCTTCAGCCCTACCGACGTCAAGTTCGTCACAGCTTCCGACGACTCGACACTAAGAATATTCGACTTTGCTGCTGGCGCGGCCGAGTCGACGCTGACGGGGCACGGCTGGGACGCCAAGAGCTGCGACTGGCACCCTACAAAGGGCCTCATCGTCTCGGGATCCAAAGACCATCTCGTCAAGCTCTGGGACCCAAGGACAGGCCGATGCCTGACAACGCTCCACGGCCACAAGAACACCATCACCAAGACGCTGTTTGAGAGAGTCCGTGGGCAGTGCCTCGCAACGTCCGCTCGCGATCAGACCGCCCGGGTGTTCGACCTCCGGATGATGCGCGATATCTGCCTCCTCCGTGGCCACGAGAAGGACATCTCGACTCTAACCTGGCATCCGATCCACTCCAACTTCCTCAGCACCGGCGGGTCCGAAGGCTCGCTCTTCCACTACCTCCTCGACGAGCCCAACACGCCACCCGGTCACTCCACCTCCACGGCCCCTTACGACAGCGCCGACCCGGCCTCAGCCCCTGCTCAAACAATCTACCCGGCCCACAAAGTCCCCTACGCCCACGACTTCGCCATCTGGTCACTCGACTGGCATCCGCTCGGCCACATCCTCGCGTCCGGATCCAACGACCGCATCACGCGCTTCTGGGCCCGCGCCCGGCCGGGCGAGGCCGAGAACTTCAACGACCGGTACCACATCGGCGAGGCCGCGGCCGAAGCCCAAGGGACCTGGGACCGGCGCGGCCACCGGCACATGCGGCAGGTGGAAGAAGAGCAAGAACTCGAGGACGAGATGGACGGGCTCGTGGACCAGAAGATGCCTCTCAAACAGCCCGGCGGCGGCGGCCTGCCGGGTATCCCGGGCCTCCCTCTCCAGCAACAACCTACGGTCCCGGGCCTGATCCCCCCGCCGCCACCACCCCCGGGTCTCATTCCCGGCGTTGGCGGCGCAACAGGAGCCGCACCACCCCCGCTCCCGTTCCCTCTGCCAGGCCTACCAGGCGGCACCGCCATCCCCCCGCCGCCGATCCCGGGCGTGGTAGACCCAAAGAACCCGCCCGACTTCGCCGCCATCGCCGAGATGATGAAAAAGCAGGGCATCCCGCTGCCCCCGCCCCCGCCGCCCGGTATGCTGCCGCCGGGCTTGCTGCCCCCGCCGGGGTATCCCTTGCCGCCTGGATTCCCGCCTCCGCCGCCGCATCTCGCTGCTGCTGTGGCCGCCGCGGCGGCGGCCAGTCAGGGTGGTGTTCAGAACAATGGAGGAGAGGGTGGAGGCGATGGTGGTGGTGGTACGGCCGGGGTGAAGAGGCGGGCCCCGCTGCCTAGCCAGGAGGAGAGCTTGCGGATGGAGCAGAGCTTGGGGAAGTATACTAGGGCGCGGTAGACTGGGATAGAAAAAGAGGGAGAGGAAAGGAGTGCGAGCTGAACTAGAGGTGTGGCAGGTGAATGGTATTATTGGGAGAGGATAGGTTAGAGGAGAGGAGGTCGCGGGATCTACGAGGGAAGATAGGCGACCGGTTGCGAATGGAGTTGGCAACGTTTGGGCTGTCGTGTGTATTATTATGGTAGTGTGATTTTCGAAAAGCGGTCGACTGGAACCTGACCATACATGGAAGGTAATGAAAGCGTAGCGGGGTTTTGAGTCTTGATGACTCGGATTCCAAGCAGAACGGGTATGCCCTGCTTGAACGGGTATACTGGAACGCTGGACCTTGGAAAGGGCACATCCATGAGTTGATCAGCCAGATAAGAGGTGACACGAAAGGTATCGTCAGGAATTCACTGCTACTACCTCTGCAGTTATTCGTGATTAGCTGCCATGTATGGTATATACATGGCTCTGATCTATGATGTACACGTTAAATACACATCAGGGCTATCGCTCGGCTCTGACTTTCTCTTATCCACGAACACCCTGGAGACCACCGCAACGCTTTATGCATGGACGCTCAACCCAATGCCTATCTCCATCTCGTCTGTTTACTTCCCCTTGGCAAAAGCCTTCTGCCGCTCCGCATACTCCTTGACCACAATCGAGCAGCTCGTCTCGGCACACAGCCTCTTCCTCCTCTGCACGGGCAGCTTGCTCGCAAACTCCAGGCCCGCCGCCCTCTCGACCGCCTCGAGCGGCACCTCAAAGTCGCTCAGCGGCTTCTCGTTGGGGATGACGGCATTGGGGAGCACAAACGCGCCGAGCGCCACCTTGCCGCCGGGCGCGGTCGACTCCTCCGCAAAGATGACCTTGTAGAAATGCGTCGGCACGGCCACGTTGGGCGGGTTGCCGATGACCTCGTACTTGACGTACCACTTGTTGTCGGCCGGGTCGCGCTTGGGCAGGTACAGGGGCCCCGTGACGATGCGCACGGAGGGGTAGCGCGTGGTCAGGCGGCGGCAGAAGTCCTCGAAGTGCGCCCAGTAGTCGCGGTTGAAGCCGTCGCCGACCTGCGGGCACATGTTGCTCAGGTAGAAGGTCTCGTCCATCGCGCTCTGGCTCCACTTGCAGTCGGCCGCCGGCACCTGGTGGCCCCGGTCGTAGCCGGAGCGGAAGTAGTCCTTGAGCTTGGCCTGGAACTTCTCCGGGATGAGCGGGTCTTCGAGGAAGGTGCTGTTCTTGCGGTCGCCGTCGCGCACTGCGAGGGACGCCGGCGTGATGTGCTCCACGACCCATTGCGGGTTCTTCGTGCGCCGGTCGTAGGACGAGATCAGCGCTTGGCGGGTGGCCAGGTCGGCGATGGGGCCTGGGAAGCCGTATTCAAAGAGCCCCGCTGGGTTAACGGGCGCGGCCGGGGAGGAGCCGGTCGTGGGAATCGCTGGAGGTGACGGGACTGGGACTGGGACTGGGACTGGGACGGGGGCGGTGGTGGTTTGGTTGCCGCTGAAGACTTGGGATGCGGGGACGGGTACGGGAACCGCAGGGCCTTTGGTAGCGACGACGGTGGTGGTGGTTGTGGTGACTTCGGCCTTCTTTTCGGAGCGCATCGAATACAGGGCGGCCGTGGCAGCCGCGCCGGCGCCGGCGCTCATGGCCGCGATAACGGCGATGGTGGCTTTCGACATGTTGGCGACTTCGTTCCTCTTGCTTATCCTCTTGCTTATCGGCAGAATTGGCGGTGTATTTCCGGCCTCCGCCCCGATCGCTGCCTGCCCAAGTGAGGTGAAGTGGCCGTCGTCCACTCGGCTCACGCTATGGTTTGCGCATGTTCAGCCTCCTGCGGCCTGCATGTGCTCTGGAAATTTTGTCGCTATCCGGTCAGCGACAGCGACCCTTGCACCCCTGCTCGGGAACAGAGACCCACTGAGCCTCTGCCTCGTTAGTGCCTCCGAAGCCGAAGCTACCGGCCGAGACGCATGGGCACAACAGTTGAGGCTTATATAGTCATGTAGCCCAGGCGTTTTCGTGATTTGTGGCACCATCAGGGTGCTCTGTCCAAGTCACACTCCATGCTTTTGCATTGTGTTTCGCCTGCTGCAGGGTATCAGTATTATCCTAGCCATCAAGGTTGTAAAAAGGTCGAGGCGGTCTGTCAGCCCTGCAATCCCCTCTGCAGTGGGCGAGTGGGAGAGCAGCGATTTGCAACGTTTGGCAAAGAACCCTTGTCGTGGCGGGGTTGGTCGAGTCAGACACTCAGCACAGGAGGGTTCAGGACATGGAAGTCGCGAACTCTCCATTCCTCCACACAGATTGTCGATGGCCTCGGTGGCCCGGGCCTTTGGTTTCAAAACTAAACTCGGTTGCTGTACTGGGCCAAGTAACGGCCGCCTGGTAGGCATGGTGGACTGATACGGTCCGGGTTGGCCCGTTTTGGCGGAGCGAGAAACTTGGCCGGCGAAACGTCACAACATAGAGGATTTCTTTGCAGCATTCTGCAGCCCTCAAGGACGCATATGCTACATCCGTGATACGTACCTGCCCACGCTCCTTACCAATCAGCCGCGTGGCCATCGAGGTTCTCACTTGGATGACATCTGACAGCCCCCCCCCCGATTCGCCCCCTTGATTCAGCCATTCTTTGTTACTTTCCCGCATTTCCGACGCTGTTGACGGTTAAAGGTGCCCTGGACAACGTCGGCACATCCTAACCTGGAAGTTCAAGAATCGCATCCTTCAGCGGGAAAGACCCTATTAAAGACAACAACTCCTTGAAAGTGTTCGACGGTCAGAGCCCGGGGAACAGGGCCCGGCACCATGAACGTTCATGTTAATGGCATGGACAACGACACGCGCGGCTGGGTTATGTCTATATTCAGCGGCCTTGCATGCATAGTGGGCGCCTCTGTTGTTTGCATCGACATCCCCATCCGCCTCCTCCCGGGCAAGCATCGCTTCCGAATCCAGGACAGCAATGCCTTCCTCGCGTCATCGCTTAGCTTGAGCTTCGGCGTCATGGTGCGTAGAGGCTCCCCGCGGGCGCTCTTTTGCCTCCCTGCTCACTCCCTTCCCAGCTCTTCTCAGCCCTATACAGCATGCTTCCATCGGCCATGCGCTACCTCACCAAGGATGGGTGGGACGAGCACAGTGCCAGCTTCTTGATGATGGGCTGCTTTGTCGGGGGGTTCTTTGGCATCCAGGCCGTCTCCCGCGTACTGCACCAATTCATGCCCTCGCATGTCGTGGACTGCGATCACACCCACGATGGCCGTCCGGATGAGGACCGTGGTGCCCAACCCGTGCGGAGGATACCCTCACATCCCGCGGCTGTGGACCGTCCACACATGATCGAGACAGACCGCAGCGTCACCGAGACCACACCCCTGATTCTTGCCAAGGTCCCGCCCAACGGTCATATGCATACAGCAATCCCCAATGGCGCCACTGCGCCGGCAGTTGAGGCCGTCACTCACTTCAATGACGATGATAGCGAACCCAGGGCATACACGCAAATCAGGAGGTTGTCAATGACCCAGGTCAGGAGCCGGGTCTTGTCATTCTTCAAGGACACAAAGGCCAACTGCGACGAGGAGGGACCGTGCTACGGCTATTCGGACCCATGCGGTCGCGAGTGCTTCAAACATGTCGGCACGCGCTCCGCCCTCTCCCGGACCGCAACGGCGCGTTCGACGAACAGTTCGATACGACCGGGCTTGGACGAGACCCAAGACGCACACAACCACTCTACGCCGAGCCTGCGGGAGGACATCAGCCGTACCCACTCACTCGATCTTGACGGTCATGCCCAGGCTCACCCTTACGCCCACTCGCACTACAGCCAGTCCGAGGGCCTCGAGGACAGCGAAGCCCAGCACCACCACCACGTTCCGACCAACGCCTTCCTCTCGATCGGGCTCCAGACAGTCATCGCCATCGCGCTGCACAAGTTCCCGGAGGGCTTCATCACCTACGCGACCAACCACGCGAGCCCGTCGCTGGGGTTCAATGTCTTCATGGCCCTCTTCGTGCACAACATCGCCGAGGGCTTCGCCATGGCCCTGCCGCTGTACATGGCCCTCGGCAGCCGCCTCAAAGCCATCTTCTGGTCGTCGCTCCTCGGCGGCTTCAGCCAGCCGCTCGGCGCCGCGGTCGCCGTCGCCTGGTTCAAGCTTGCGAAGCGCTCCGATTTCGCCATCGACAGCACCGCCTATGCCTGTCTCTTTGCCATCACGGCGGGCATCATGGTCAGCGTGGCGCTGCAGCTTTTTGTCGAGAGCCTGAGCCTGGACCATAACAGGAATTTGAGCATCTTCTTTGCTTTTCTGGGCATGACGCTGCTGGGGACGACCAGTGCGCTGGTTGAGTAGGAGAGTGGCCGATATTACGGGAAAGACATTGGTTTTCTGGCGTTTAGAGGTCCATGTCGTTTGGCAAACTCATGGGAAGTGTATGGATAAGGATATGCTCTGGATTTCATTGTGATGGGTTAACGGCGTCCGTTAAAAGGCTAGGTTGCGCTGATTCTGGGATGAGCATCGGTCAGACAATTGGGGGCTCAATCATGCATCTACTCACCTGACTTTTCGCACACACACACAGAGAGAGATGTTATATGTGTATAGGATAGTATTACGAAGGCTTACACGAGGAGCTATTAGTTTCAATGAAGCGTTTTAGGGCATGAGAGAGTCAAATCGTGAATCCGAGATCTGCAATGTCGCAGGAGCGCCAGGGATTGAAAGAAACCAAGATATTCCCGTATTTTCTGAGCTCCCAACCCACCTTACTGAACATTGGATACAAAGGTATTGCTCCCGCTCATGTTACAAGAGCTTAAACAAAAGAGCAGGTTACCAAACAGAAGATAACTCAGAAAACGGGAAGTTCTTTTCCCCCCAACACCGGTTCTTAGAGGAGTTTGTAACCACTAAGATGGCCAATAAGCAAGCCTGATTAGCATAGTGGCTAATGCGTCGCACTTGTATCGTGGACCCCTCACTAAAAGGTTTCCTCTTACGACATGCGAAGATCACAGGTTCAATTCCTGTATCAGGCAGCTTGAACGCTTGAAATTTTGCTTCCTCCTTCTGCTATGATATGCTCTTCTCTGGCCTTCTATTTTCCAACTTTTGCTTCCTTCTCGGTGTGACTGAGAGAGGCATCCCGGGTTGCTTTTAGTGGTTACGTACTATAAGGGTTCTGAGAGATCGCTAAGCTGGGCAACGGACAGCGAAGACATGCGGGAGTAGAACAAGATGCCAGTGATAAACCAAACGATCAAAGAGCGTTTCTGCATAGACTACCTAGGTACCTAGATACACAACCGGGGGGAACAGAGACACACCGAACCCGCTACCTGCCTTATGGAAGTAGAGGATATTCCGCCACCTACACTCGAGGACACCGCTCAGTATAATGCACACTTCAGTACCTAATAAGTTGTAGCTATGTGTAAGTACTAGTAGGTGTATGTAAAGATCCACATGTGTAACCCATACTACTCAAACATAACCGTCACCTGGTCCATCGTCTTGTCTTCTTGTCACCAGACCAACCGGCCACCAGCCAATGCGCCGAAGCAAAACGTATCGCCCACTAGGTACCCCAAGCAGTTTATCTTAAGCAATAACACAAGGGGAGCATCTCTTTCCCTTCTTAAGTTCCCTTTAGCTTCCCGACCCCAAACCTTCTCAGGTCCACTCCGCCCCAAGGTAGAGTGTAAGGCAAGGTAGTAGCGAAAAGCGAAACTTTAAAAACGCCGTGTCCCCTCTTCCGCCCACCGACCCAGCCACGAAACCTATAACACAAAAACCGAGAAGAATAAACCATTCCGAGGTCGTAGGCATTTGCCAAAAACCTCCCGTCATGCATGATCGACCGCCCTCAAGGAAGAACGGACCAAGGTCCATTCATAGCGAGCTCATTCATCATGGATTCGCCACCGCTAATCCTCATCGCTCTGCACACCACTGCTCCCGCCACTGACCTGACCTCCCATGCCGACGCCATTCGCAGCATTCGCATTGGCATTCGCAGCACTCGAAACCAGCTTGATCCGCGTGGGCGGCCCACTCGCTGGAGGCTGCGGGGTACCGTCAGTAGCTGCCGTCGATGATGGCGCGACTGAGCCGTCTTTAACGGACGAGGGATCTTCCAGCGCGCGGAGCTCAGGGTTTTCGGCGAGTTCTTTCTCGAACTGGGCTTTGAAAAATGCCTATTTGGAACGCTTGTGAGTCTACTACAACCAGAAAAGGTCAGTCCGAGGCTAACTCACCTCAATCAGGTTCACGTCCTGGCAGATGCCGCTGCTCTCCTCGTTGAAGGTCCTGCAGTTGCTGACCATGAGGTCGAGATCCTTGCGCATGTCCGCCAGGCTGTTGTACTCCTCCTTCTTGATCCTCTTCTGGATGTCGTTCATGCAGATCGGATTAGTGATGATGACGTAGTAGTCTGCCCATTCACGTTTCGGCGGCAGCTTGACGAACGGCCCGATGATCAGGCGCTTCGGCGGCTCATCGTCGTCATCCTGCTCGCCGTCAGGCTTCTGCGGCTCTTCGTCATCCACCTCAAGGTTCATCAGCCCGTCATAGATGCGCTTCATGCTCTTCTGTAGCTTGTCACGGAGCTCAGGCGCTAGGCGGTTCTCCGAGCCGTTTATGCTAACCGCCTTTGGCCGCCCCTGCGGACCACGGCGTTTCTTAGCAGGCGGCTCGTCGTCGCCCTCTTCTGCCTTGCGCTTCTCCTGGTTTTTGCTACCCGGCTTGCGCCCTCGCTTCTTAACCGGCGTCTCCACATCCTCGGTGCTAGCGCGGCTGGCGGACGGCGAGTTCTCCATGGACGCGTTCATCAGGGCCATCCGTTTCAGCTTGTTCTGCTCTCGCCTCTCCTTGCGGGCCGCCTTCCGCGCTGCAGCCGCCTCGGGCGTGTCTTCGTCGTCGTCCACAGCCATGAGCCATTGCTCTTCTGTGAGCCCATCATCGTACTTAACCTTGGTGCGCTCACGGGCACCTCTGCCGAGGAGCACTTCCGACTCCTCTTCGACCGGGTTGCCCTCGTTGAGATAGATATCCGGAAGCTCGTCCTCGGTCATAAGACGGGGCACACCTTTGCAGCCAGGTGCTGTGCCATAGATGGGATCGCGCGCCCTCTCCTCATCCAGCTTCTGGAAAACTGCCAGCTCGTCCTCATTCCGAGCGAGGATCATGTTGAGCTCCTCATCATCCATCTCTTCTTGCTCGCCGGACTCCGCCATGTCCGCAGTCTCTAGCAAAGTTCTGAGCATGGCATCACGATCCGTCTCCGAGGACTTGTTGTCGAAACGACCAGCTTGAATAACCTTGCCGTCCATGTCAAGCTTGAATCTGGCACGCTCCAGAATCTTCTCTTCAACGGAGGCAGAGCTGATCAGCCGGAGAATCCGCACCTCATTCTTCTGCCCTATACGATGAGCACGATCCTGAGCTTGCAAGTCCTGGTGAGGATTCCAGTCAGAATCGTAGATGATGACAGTGTCGGCTGTCTGCAGATTGAGACCTAGACCACCGGCACGCGTGGAAAGCAAGAACATGAAGTATGGAGAATCCGGCCGGTTGAACTCCCTCAGGAGTTCAGACCGGTCTTCCGACTTCGTGGTACCGTCCAGCCGGAGGTACTGGATACCACGGAATCGGAGGAAGTCCTCCATAATGTCCATGATGGCAGTCATCTGGAAGAACATCAACACGCGATGGCCCGTCGCCTTGTACTTGGGCAGGATCCTGTCCAAGAGCTCAAACTTGCCAGCCGTTCTCCAGAGGAGATCGTTGCTGACATTGGCCGGGTTCATCTGGTTCTCCACCTCGTCAAACACGAACGGGTGGTTGCACAGCTTCCGGAGCTGCATGATCATGTTGCTCAAACCGCGAGCACCAGTCTTGCCGCCCTTGCCGTCGCTGACGATAATCTTCTGGTGCGTGACCATCTGCTTGTACAGCCGGGCTTGCAGGGCCGAGAACTTGCACTTGATAACCTTCTCTGTCTTGTCTGGAAGATCCTTCTCGACATCCTTCTTGAGACGACGCAGCAAGAACGGCCGCAGCACCTTATGCAAACGACGGATGACGAGGATTTGTTCTTCTTCAGTGAGCTCCATCTTGTCTTGGCCACCCGTGTTTGCGAAGGGAGTGTTGAACCACTCGTCGAATGTCTTGGCGGATTTGAAGATGTTGGGCAGGACAAAATTGAGCATGGCCCATAACTCAGCAAGGTTGTTTTGGAGAGGAGTACCTGTGAGAATCAGGCGGAAGCGGGTGCTGTAGTACTGCTGGATTGTGGCGCTCAGCTTCGAGTTGGTATTCTTCATGCGGTGACCTTCATCGATGATCATGTGGAACCACTTGATCTTGCTCAGCAATGGCCGGTCCTTGATGATGTATTCGTAGGTCGTGAGCAAGACCTGGAACTTGCCCTGGCGGATCTTCTCTTGCTGCATCTTCCTGGCATTCGGAGGCCCCTTGTAGACCACCTTGGCAACCGAAGGAGCCCACTTGTCAAATTCGAGGTTCCAGTTCGTCAGGGTGCTGAGAGGGACAATGACCAAGTAAGGACCATGCTGATGTTTCTTCTCAATCAGGTACGTGATCAGACTGATCGTCTGGATTGTCTTGCCGAGACCCATTTCATCAGCCAGGATACCGTTGAGGTTGTTATTGTAGAGTGACAGCATCCATTGCAAGCCCTTGAGCTGGTACTCTTTCAGGGTACCGCCAACCAGGATGCTGGCCTGCTCCGTGACTTCTTCCTTGATGCGGTGGGCAACGGCGTAGTAATCGATCTTGCGGCTGCTCTCTTCGTCCTCGTCCTCATCAATATCACTCTCATCTGGCACGTCGGCTTCATGGCCATAGCGTTCTGCAGCCTGCCGCTGCTGAGCACGGACAGACGAGGCAAGCTGATGCAGGAAACCATCGGTCTGGCGGAGCAGGTGAGTAATACGGGTATCCTTGGCTTGGTCGAGCAGCTTGAGGTAGGCCTCTTCGTCGTTGGCCTTGAGAGCCTGAAGACGCTGCTTGGCGGTCCTCTCGATCCTCTTCTGCTCTTCCTTTTCGATGTTGAAATGATGACTATACATGACGCGACTGAGCTTCTGCAGTTTGCCCCGTTCGGCCTGACCAGCGTTCAGAACCGCGTTCCTGTGGTTGTAGAGGGCGATCATCTGATCCTCCAGCTTCTTCCTCTGCCGGTTCGCGCGAGCATCGCGCTGCTGCTTCTCTAGCTTCTCGGTGATGCGCGCTTCCCGTACGTTCTGCTTCTTCATGCGGCGGTACTGTGCTCGGTTCGTGGTCATGGCCAGGTTGTCATAGTGCATCATCTGCTTTCCGATCTTGTCCCTCAGCGCGCGCTGCTTGGAGTATAGCGCCAGCTTCTTCATCTCGATGACAGCTTTCCTCTTCGCTGTGTCGTCAGTCACCAGGACGTCCTGAGACGCATCTATGTGCGCCAGGTTGCCGGGGAGAGACTTCAACTCGGCATATCTCGCGCTCATGCGGTTGAAAACAATCTTCTCGCGATCTGCTCTCAACTGCTCAAAGTCGATGCCTGTGGGGAAGATGCCCGGGATGATAAGACGATTCTTACGGCGCCCATGGTCCATATAAGAGATGGTCTTGCGAACAAGCCCACCATCATACGGAGATTTCACCGTCTTGAACGTCTTGGGTTGAGGAACCGATGGGGCTTCAGCTTGTGCGTCAGCTCCGTTGGGGCTTGACTTTGTACCATCTTGCGTAGGCACGTCTGAACCGGCACTGACGGATAAGGATTGCGAGTCTTGCTTGACCAAAGATGCACGACGTCGTGCACGGTGCTCGAAGATGGCCTTCTGCATCTGAACAGGGACGCCGGCATTTCTGCCCAGCAGCCTGAAGGCCTTGATTTGGGCATACAGAAGTTGGAGCTGCGCGGGTGTGAATTGGCTAGGTTGATTTTGCGCTGGCGCAGTAGCGGTTGTGCTGGCCGCGGATGCAGTTGTGGTCGCGGGTAGAGCGGAAGCAGCGAGCGACGTTGTCGAAGGAGGCA